ATTAAGAGGTCATTAGAAGAAGACTTCAAAGTAGTTGTTAGCATAAGGTATTTTTTGACCTTCAAACTTATAATTATTATTTCTAAATTTAAATAATTAAATATACTTTGATCCTTTTTTTTTTTGGCAAAAATATTGTGTTTATTCCATATATAGCCAAAATTGATCTTCTTTTTTTGTTGTATTTTTTTTGCAGTCCACCAATTTGGTTCCTTGCTGTATTATTCCTACTCTTCAATACTCATGGTAAATAAATACTGAAATTAACTTTCAATTAATTAAAATATACGTTTTTGATATCATATCAATATTATATTATATTCTAACTATTTATAAAAGTGTGTCACACTCAAATATGAAGTGAAAATAAAGTTTAATTTAGTACACATATATATTCAAATAGTAAAACGATTGATACTTCAAGTAAACATTTTTTTTAAATTTTAATCAAATATTTCGAGTTTAAATTTTAAATATGTAAAATTAATCAATTTTATTACGGAATGCTTTGTCTTTTGATTTGAACTTTCCAATATGAATCTAAATGTCTTTACCTTTTGGTATAAATTTTTTTAATATAAATTTAAATTTAATCAAATTTTAATATAATTATCGAAATTTATTAAGTAATTTCATTGTCATTTGTGGACAGGCTGGTATTCTTATCTGTGGCTACCGTTCATTCCGTTACTTGTAAGTATTTCCAAAATCATTTCGCATTTGACTTTTATTCATTTATTTCTATTTTTCATATTTTATATATATATCCATCTTCCCATAGTCATATACAATAATTTTTAATAATTCTTTATGTACTAAAAAATTATTTATTACATCTCTCTATTTTAATTTATGTTGTATTTTTTATTTTTCGAGAGCTAATAAATAATTAAAGCATGACTGAGAATTTACACATGAATTATAATATTTTTTTAAAAATGAAATTTATACATATGTAAACTATGTAATTAAAGAGTATTATAATTCACAATAATTGACAATTCAAAATATTTAAAAGATATACGGAAAAATTTACAGTCTTGTTTGAATCTCAAAATTTAAAAAATACCACATAAATTAAGATGGAAAGAATATTAATTACACAGTATTATATATTAACTTGAGATTGTTAATCGTATAACAACTCATCATAATTTTTGAATTCCGAATTTTGTCTATGTTTTTTGATGCTTTTAATATTCGTAAAAATTCTGACTTCGTCATCGATCGATACAGGTGATATTATTAGTAGGGACTAAACTACAAGTGATTATAACAAAAATGGGATTAAGAATTCAAGAAAGGGGAGAAGTAGTGAAAGGGGTACCTGTGGTTCAACCTGGAGATGATTTATTTTGGTTTAATCGTCCTCGTCTACTACTTTTTTTAATTAATTTTGTTCTTTTTCAGGTATTTTTTAAATATTTATTTTTAAGAAAAGTCATTTTTTAAAATTTAAATAATTTAATTTTTATTTTTGATCTTGTTAATATATATATATATATATATATATTATTTTTTTTTTTTTGTGATTTATTGCAGAATGCTTTTCAATTGGCTTTCTTTGCTTGGACTTGGGTAAGTCCACCAATTAACTCTACTAGTAATATCAACTTTCGAAAATCGATAAAATAGTTATTGGCGTGGAGTTTCGAATTTCATTTGTGAAAATATTTTGGATTCTATTTGTTATAATAATAACGGTATAATGTATTAAGTATAATTTTATAAGTGAGGTCTGAAGGGTAGTTTGGTCGGTTAGTGGTGGAGCCACCTTATATTCAGGTGTTCATCTGAATTTTTTTTTGGCAGAAAATTATATTATTTATTCATGCTTAAAATCACTTTTAGGTATATATAGTAGATGTCGAATTCTCTTCGGCTATTTCGTGTGTCTATTTCCTTAAATTTTAAATTCTTTTATTGAAAATTTTGACTTAGCCGTTGCAGTCAGTATACTAAGCTTCCGCAATATAGGGTTCTATTATAAAAACAATTATCACGTATCTTTATAAGAGACTGTTTTCACATTCTGTATATTACGGGACAACAATTTATAAACATATAATAGTATTTTGAAATTTCATGATAACAACTATTTGTCAATTATAAGGACCGAAAAGTGATTATTTGCGAATTATATCTCATAATTAATTCTTATTTTGTTTGATTTCTCTTGTAATTTAAAAAAAAACAGTATGAATTTGGGCTGAAATCTTGTTTCCATGACCAAACTGAGGACATCGTAATTAGAATGACAATGGGGTTAGTATTAATTATTTTCTAATTTATAATTAAAATTTTATTAATTTGATCCAATTTACTTACATATAAAAATGGTTTGATTTAATTTTTGGTGCAGGGTTCTTATTCAGATTCTTTGCAGCTATGTTACTCTTCCATTATATGCTCTTGTAACACAGGTAAATTAAGTTATATATATCGTCAACGTAAATTTTTGTTTTTATCTCATAAGATTACATTTGAATATACATCTCGTTTTATTTTTAAGATTATTAATCTCGCATTTTAAGTTTCAAGTCACAAAAACAATAACATAATAATAACGAATATTAACAACTCCTAGATATTACGTGGGCGTTTGGACATAAGAATTTATGTGAATTTTGGAAGAAAGTAGAATGTTTTATTTTCAAGTTAAAAATAATGTTAAGAAATTAAAAATTGAAATTGTGTTTGGACACGAATACAAATTGAAGTTGTTTCTTTAAACGTTCGCGAATGATTTGTAGTGAAAAATTGTGAAAAATGGAGTTTCTTTGGATTTCGAAAAATTAAAACAATTCTACGTTCAAATAATTTTCTTCCGAAAAAAATGAAAACTATCCATGGTTAACAAACGGACACTAAAATTTCTATCCTTCACTAGAATTTTTTTTCCCCACACCTTTATAGGAATGAAAATACTGATAGGATTTTACTTATATATACTGTCAGTACTAACTATCTTACCTTTCATGTTTTCAATTTCATTTATTATGAAAATACTGTAAATATTTAAGTCTTGCGATAGCATAAAAATTCTTTTACGTTGTTAGTTCGTAGAAATTAAACTCATTCTCTCAAAATGTTTGCACATTTTTTTTAAAATAGATGGGATCAACAATGAAACCAACAATCTTCAATGAAAGAGTAGCAATGGCATTGAGAAAATGGCACCATAGTGCCAAAAAACACATCAAAGAGATCAACAAGCAACACTCAAATCCAACAACACCAATGTCAAGTAGGCCACCAACTCCCTCTCACGGCATGTCACCCGTCCATCTCCTACGCGGTATCAGGACGAGTGACATGGACGTGGGTCCACGAAGATCGAGTTATAATAATATAGACCATTGGGATATTGAGGGCTCACCATCTCCAAATCGTCACGACTCTGAAGTTCACGAGCCTAATTTGTCAGAAATTGAGGCTCGTGAACAATACGAGATTAATATTGCTCGTTCAAGGGATTTTTCTTTTGATAAAAGAACGACTAGTGTATAATTAAATGTTAGAATTCATATCATGAGTGGCAAAGTCACTTTCGTCGAAAGGAAGTTTATTGACATCTCTTTATTGGAGAATTATACTTCGTTGATAGTTTAATTTTTCTTCTTCTTTTATGTATGTATATTGTATGTTTAATTTTTCGTTAATTATTTTATGTGTTTACTTCTAGTCATTTCAATGAAAATTTAGATTTCACCGCTCATAATTTTTGTTTTAAAATATTACATAATAAAATTGTTATGAAATATACAAATTGTGTGACGATATAATGAAGGATATAAAGATGATGACTCACCCAAAATTACATAAAATATTTTATGCAACGATAAATACTTTTTCTTTCTTAATTAAAATTTTCAAATTCAATTTCTAAATATGAACGTGTTCCGATGATTTTCCACTATAAAACGACAAACTATGGGAACGACAAGTGACATATATAATGCAGCGCCCATAATACAATAATTTGTGTAACTTTTCTATATCTCAGCTATAAATAGATTTTAGAGACGAATTTAAAATTTTTAATATATATATATTATAATTTTATAATTTATATTTTGTATCTTAATTTCTTTATTTGTATATTTGATATCATTATTAAAACGTGGTTGATCTTTATTTTAAAATTTTATTTTTGAAGATGTATATATATATTCACACTTCAAATATCATATATATGTTATAGAGATAGGATTAAGAATTTTGAGTTTATGAATTCTGATATAGAGAACACAGCTTATTAAGTTTTGAATAATGCCAAGCTCATGAGGCGAAACTCTAATCGTCACTCGCCTAGATATGTAATTTTAAAGATAGAAAAAGCCGAAGATACGGAACAAGTTAAATAGCGTGATACAATCAATATGACACTATCTATTTCATACCAGATTTGTTCACCTTATATGATTTTGAACAATCCTCGACTCAAAAATGGAGAAGCATAAAGTTTTTGTCAGTAGTCCCAAAACCTCTCACCCTTTGCTTTATTATTGCCTCTTGTTTGTATTGTCTTTTCATCCACCAATTTAATTTCTATACGCCACAATTCTCACAAAACAACAAGACATAATTTTATTTGAGAGATGGAGAATTACTTTCAAGGGATAGTAGGAAAATTGGGAAGACAATGCTATGCAGTGTTATGTTTGTGTGTGCTTTTTATTTCACTAGTTATCGTTCGTTATTCAAATCTTTATGATCAAGAATTCAATCGCCACCATCGTCGCGTTCATGAACGCACCGGGAGGCGTGTTCGAGCCTTACATGGTTCTTCTCTTCTTCCACGCAATTCAAATTACTAATTGAATCAGATATGAATATAGGATTTGAATTTAAAAATAATGAATAATGATGTTTTATTGGTTTTGTTTAATTTTTGCAATGTAATGATGAATTTGAATTGATGTAATATTGAATACTATTGTTTTAATTAATTAATTTACAAGATAAAATATTTTGTTTTTCCCAAGATGGATGGATTACATTACCATATTATTATATTGATGCAATTTTATCCTTTCTGAATTATTGCAATTCTATGTCGAGAACTGAGCACCACTATATATGTATATTAAAATTATGATATGTTTTAAATTCAGTATATAAATATATAATAAAGTAATTTTATTAGATATTTTCAGTTCATTTTGCAATAGTGTTTTTGTGAGTTACGTGTGTCCGTTAAAAATTGTTACGTTAATCACATATAATATAATATATATATATTTTAAATTTATAACAATTAAAATATTCATAAGATTTTACGTGTTATCAAGATTAGTGTGTGTATATAATTAAAAGAAATAATACTTTTTTATCAACGGAATGTGTACTTAAAAATTTAAGTCGAAAGTATTTAATAGGTAGACTTCATCATAGGTTTATATCCTCATTAGAAACACCATAAATCAAAGTTAGAATGAAATATATTTGTATAATATACAATTTTTTTAACCTATATATATATACAATTCACTTCTCTCCCACTCTCTGCCCTCTCTCGCTCACCTTTCTCCTCCCTCTCCCAATCTCACTTGTAATTTATACAAATGTGTAATATACAGTTATATACAATTATATACATATACAATTCACCTCTCTCTTCCCTCTCCCGATCTCGCGCGCCTCTTTCCTCTCTTTCCCTGTCTCGCTCGCCTCTCTCTCCCAATCTCTCTTTTCATATATACAAATAAAAATGTATAATATACAATTATCTAACCAATGTATATATACAATTCACATTTTTTCCATTCTTTCCCCCTCTCTCACCTCTATCTCCCAATTTCGCTCACTTCTCTTCTCTATATAACATGTACCTATAAATTGTAATTATTAAACTATAATTATGGAGATTAATTAATTATTTAAACTATAATTGGAAACTATACGTGAAAGTTTCCAAAAAATAAAATAAAATAAAATACCCCCACCCCTTTTTGTGATTAAGCTCCTTTTATGACTGAAAAAACGGATTACTACTAATTAATTACTCCCGCTAAATTCACTCTTCTCTTCCGCAAAAGCCGATATCGCCGGTGAACCTTTGCTTCGCCGGTAAACTAGAGAGAGAAAGAGAAAGTGAAAAAATGGAAGAGTTCGATGTGACAAATAGAGGAAGAAGTATATCTAAGTTTCTCTCTCCTCCCTTTTTCCCGTCCGCCATCATTTTCTACTTCTCCGAAATCCTCCGTCACCGGAAAAATAAGTTAACCGGCACCGAAAATGAGCGTTATCGACATTATCCTCAGAGTCGATACGATATGTAAGAAGTACGAAAAGTACGATGTCGAGAAGCATTCAGCTAATGATTCCCCCGGCGATGCCTTCGCTCGCCTTTATTCGTCCTTCGAATCTCAAATTGACGCTACTTCTGAGGTAATTTCTCGTTCCGATTTCAAAGTTGAATCGAATTTAGAGGTTTTTTTTTTGAGAAATTTGTTGTTCGATTTTGCAGAAAGCAGAGATGGCTGCTATGGAAACTAACAGAGCTAAAGCGGTGGCTATGAAGGCGGAGGTACGACGAACAAAGGCGCGTTTAATGGATGAAATCAAAAAATTGCACAAACTTGCTCAGAAAAAGGTAAAAATTTGTTTAAATTTTGGGTATTTTGGTGTTTTAATGTATGTATGTAATTGGAGAAGTTGTTCTTTTGTGTGTTTTCGAGAATTCTGTATTTTGCTCGTTGTTTTGGTTACCCATCCAACGTCTAGTACCTGTATTTGGACCCATTTAATGAAAGCGCTCTGTACCAGGATTTTTTCTATATCGAGGCTCGAACCTTAGACCTCTAGTTAAGTACGAAGCTCATCACAATTCTTGATAGTGCGTCAAGGCGAGCTTTGAATGTGATTTTGAACCATATGGTTTTCTTTTTATGTTTAGTAATGTCAAAATTAGTTGATAGGTTCTCCTGTTGTAAGTGTTATGTTGAGCAAAATGGTTGCTTCCAACATTCCCGAGTATCATGTTACTCATACTATCCAAAAATGCTCCCATAACCATGTTGGATCCTTCTAAATGCACTACTTTTGAAGAATCCAACATGCGCTTGTTGACGTTTCTTAAGAGTCCAAGCAACAAAGATATTAGGTATAAAGAAAGTTTAACTGCGGAATTTAATTACCCAAGGTGCTAGTTTTGATAACTTGTCTTTTGGTCGAGGTATATAGCTTTTTACATTGGGCAAATGTTAGTGATAACTAGATTACAATCAGGTTAAAGGACTATCCCAAGAGGAACTGGAGACTCGTGGTGATTTGGTACATATGCTATCGGAGAGAATTCAGGCAATACCTGATGGGAGTATAAATGCAGCCAAAACAACAGGAGGTCGCGGGACTTCATCATTCAACAAAAATATAAAATTTGACTCAGGTAATATATAATCAGTTCTCTTTGTTTTCGTTACAATGTAGTTTCTGGATTTCTCACGATGTCAAAAATGCATATTAGAGGGACAGTTCAACGAGGGTTTCTACGAGCAAACTGAAGAGGGCACTCATTTTAGATCTGAGTATGAGATACGGAAAATGAAACAGGCTTGTAACTTTCCAATTCTTGTTCTTTGATTCCTTTTTCTCTGTTAGTTTTACATGGAACCGTCACATAACCGAATGTTGAATTCTGTAGGATGAAGGATTAGATGTTATTTCAGAAGGTCTGGACACACTGAAGAATTTGGCTCGCGATATGAACGAGGTTTCCCTCATCACCCGATTTGCGTCCTAAACATGATTCTGTTCTCAGGAATAAAACTGTTTCTTGATCATTATTTTGTTCCACTTTGTTTCAGGAATTGGATAGGCAAGTTCCTTTGATGGACGAAATTGATACAAAGGTTAGAATGATTTCTTAAATCTCCATTTATTGGACTACTGTAACAAACAACGTTCGTAATTCACCTTACTTCGGTTCTCTTACAGGTGGATAAGGCAACCACTGATATCGAAAACAATAATGTCAGACTCAGGGATAACATCAACAAGGTATCCTAAAGTTTTATTAGAATTCCTGCTCTCTTGTCCGGTTCACAAAGCAGATCTCTTTTACTTTGTTTTGATTCAATTTTCTTATGAGGTCTATTAACTGTTGCATTTTTTTTCTCCAGATAAGGTCCAGCAAAAACATCTTTATCGATATAATACTTATCTGTATCCTTCTGGGAATTATGGCCTATCTTTACAAGTGAGTATCTATCTCGAGAGATTACTTAACATTGTTTCTTCTTATTCAGCTTTGTGATTCTTCCTTGATGATAATTATGTTTAGAAGTTAAGAAAAGACGCAACATCATTACTATTCGCATAATAGTCTGACAAACGTATGGGAATCTGAATTTCATTACTTACATTATAGAAAGATCGAAAAAGTATTGGGGAGAGGTCATTAGACAGGACATAGTGCAATTTTAACTTACCGATGACATGACCTTAGATAAAAGGGTGTGGAGGACACAGATTAGGATAGAAGGTCAGTAGGTAGCAGTGTGTTGTCTTGTTGTTCATTCATATTAGTAGTTGTAGTATTGCTTCTGTAGTTTCTTGTTCTTCAATTTCTGATACTATCTGTTGATTACTAGTACCTCGAATTTATTGATTGTTTTGTTTTAGTTTCTGTTCTGTTAATATCTGGACTGCTTTAAACTATTCTTTTCATTGAGCTAAGGATCTATCGGAAACAACTTCTTTACCTGTGAGGTAGGGGTAAGGTTTGTGTACAATCTATCCGTCTTTTCACTCGGCACAATCTTTGGTTGATGTCAAGTAGTTTCTTTAGTTGATGATTGCCTAGAAGAAAAATGAGGAAACCAGAGATTCTGTTTTGACTCTGTGTTCAAACTGGCTAAGCCATTAGAATTTAAATTGATTACTGTTTAAAAATATACCAACTAGGCCTGCGTATCTATGAACTTGAACAAATTAAGTAACAGTTCATCAACTTTTGTGCTATGTGTGGTGTAAAAGTAAAGTAACCATGCAATAGATCTTGTATCTAGCACTTCTAAACAATTTTTCTTTATTGGTGCAGCGTTCTAAAGTAAAGTACCGGGACCTCGAGCTTCATTTGATCCTGACTGATCTCCCACGGACAGATGTAAGATTCATCTACTCCCCGCGCTTAATTCTATACTGTACTAGCCTTGGGAGATCCTAGAAATCACAGTTAAGATTGTATATTTTGGCTACTTCACCTTTTTATTGTCTTCTTAATATAAGAGTTTATTTACAGAAGCCTGTGTAGAAATGAATCAATTTTATCTACCAGCCAGTCTTTTTTACCATAAATTTTAGAGCAAGAAAAAATATTGAACAGAAACAGATGGAGTGTGGAGTCACAATTTTAGCTACAGATTGGGGAACCTAGCTAGTGGTTTTGGTTCCAATTCTTTATTTGTGGGAAAATAATTATTTGATATGTATAAATAATTTATTGAACCAGTAAGCAAAAAGGATTATGGTTCAGAATGCATAAATTAAAAATTCTGGATCCGCTTCTACATATAAGAAATTTGTATTTGTTTTCGTTTGTTCCTTATTACTAATATATATGCATACGGTTATCGCACTATTAATAGTAGATAGTGACGTGTTGTCTTGCTTTTTGAGGGCTAAGGTTTTTTTGGTGTTTGTCGTTGTATTAGCTATAGTATTGTAGTTCTTTGCTTTTGATGTAACTGCATATCATCCTTTGTTGTTTATTGTGTTTCAGTTATCACACTGTTTTGTTGATCTTGTTCCTTTCTTGGATTACCCCAGTTGAGCCGAAGTTTCTTTTGGAAAACAACCTCTCTATCTCCATGATATAATAATAAAATTTGCACATGCTCTATGTATGAACTCTCATCGGAAAATAAAATATTATAAAAGTGTCAAGTTCAGATCTCAAATATAGTATTGTCGCACTTTTAAAGTTGACCTTTTTCGATTTAAATTTGTATTAATCGAACTTCAATACGAGTAACCTTCGGGAAACACAGAGTACCAACATGTTCATTTTTTATGTTCATCAAATTATGAGAGGGGACTCTTTGATATATTAATTGGCGAAGGAATTAATGTCAATTAGTCTCATTCTCCTCATTTTATTACCTCAGATTAATTATTTAATAAAGACAAAATATATCTAAGACATAAATAAATATAAAACAGTCAAAAATATCGCTTAAAAGATGTATATAAGAAAAAAATGAGTGAGTGTAAATTCCTATTAGCACCATATTTGTTTTTGCTTTTTGCAAGAGAATTAATTAGGATTAATTATACAAAAAGCTATTTAAAAAAGAGCAATGAGATTAGTTGAAGTTGTTGGGTATATGTCTCCATCATTTTATTCAAGAAAAACAATATATAGAGAATTAAATAAAAATTATCTATTTTTCAAATACTAAATTCCAAGAGCTTAATTCCAAAAAAGTGGTTGAGTAAAATATGCTCCCTTTTTTCTTTTCAAAGTATATTTAATAGAGACGCCTAAAGCGCATACATTATCCGTCTTTTAAAAATCGTCTAACTGAATATATTAGATAAAATATATCTAAATGATATCAATATTAAATTTTAATATGTTGTCCGACTACTTAACTTCAAATGCCATTTATATAAAGTTGATTTTGAAGCAAATAGACAAAAAAAAAAAAATTAAAAGAATGCTCCCCAAAGGTTGGCTATATGTGCACTAGGGCCTTTTTAGTCGAATCATTCATAACACGAGAGTTCAACTAATCAGAATTTACTTTTAAAAAATAAAATTTATATGTTTAAAATTATATAAAATAAACTAATAATTACAATAACTAACAAATTAAAATGTATTTAAAAATTATAATAAAAATATTAGTTTACTATAAAAAAAATTGAAATGAAAGTAATTATAATAAAAATATTAGTTTACCTAAAAAAAATGAAATGAAAGGGTATATTAGGATTATAAGAAATGAAAGGCAAATTCCTATTAGTTCGATATCACCTTCACAATCTATTCAACCAATCTCTCTTTGTAGAAAATTTAGATAAGATGTGTTTGAGAGAGACCCTAGCAAAAATTAGTAGATTTTTTTAAAATATAAATTTATATTTTGCGTGGAAAGTAATTTTTTTTAATGATAAGTTGATAAATATTTTTTTATTTATAATTAAAGATCTTAAATTAATCACAATCAATAGATGTGGCAAAGGGGATACAATTGCTTTTCCGTTAATGAGAGTTTTAAATTTCGAATTCTAAATATGAAAAAGTGTTCGACCTTCGAATAGACCTATTTCAAAAAATATATCAATTACTCGAGTCCAATGAAGTATGAACCATTGAATAGAAAAAAGAAGAGAGATCCCAAATTAGTCGAGTTCTAACACTAAACAAGGCTTTTCCCATTATGAATCAATAAAAAATTTATGTTATATAACGTGAATTTTTTTATCTATTTTTTACTGAACCAACTCATTGAAAAAAGCTTGATGTAAAATGAAAATGAATTCTCGACAAAATATGAAAAGTTCCCTATTTTTCTGTAAACACTACTATAAATTTTTTCACCAATATACCATATTTATAATTAAAAAAAGAAAAGCTACCTAACATTTTCAGTGAGAAACTAATAAGAAAATAGTAACTTTTTAATAATGTAAAATAAGTACTGTTTGAGAAAAAAAAAATTTAATTATTAACAGTCACCAATTAAGGTGTAGAAAACCAATAATGACATAATCATTTTTACCATATGTAAATTGTAAAGGCAACATACTTTTTATCAATCCCTCAATTAATCTTTTTGGAGAACTAAAGTTTTTCATCAAGACTTTTCACCCTTTTCTCTTTTCTCTTTAATTCATCGTATTATATGGTATCGATATTTGATTGAGTATAAAATTTAAATAAAAAAATATAATAAAGTGATAAGTACTTCTTCATCTTTATTTAAGAGATCTCGGATTTGAGTACGCTTGGACACGAGGTTGCCATTGTTAGAAAATACTATACTCCCAATGTAGAACTTTTTAACCGAAATATCAGACATCGAATAAAAAATCTTATACATTAGAAAAAATATTAAACATATCATATATATATTTGTCATATGTAATTTTCTTGTTAAAAGATTTAGATAATTAAAAAAGAAATGTATACCATCACTTAAATTGATTGGAGGAGTATTAAAGAGTCATAAAAGGAAGTACTCTAGTTTCTCTTCAAATTTTCACGATGCATAAAGTGTTAAATATTTATACGATTATAAATTATTTTATTAAATATAAAATTTATTAAATTATTTTATTAAATATAATTTTTTATTTTTTTTAGGCTGAGAAGGGTATACAATTGGGTTCGAAGGCCCACCTCAAGGGTGAAGGTGTAGGTAACTCGATTATCTTACTGAATTATAAAGTTAAACGAATATATACTTATCGAGATTAGAAAAATATAAAATATATCATATAAATTGAAATCGTAATATATATAATTCAAAACTAGAATTTTCGAATTCAAAATAAATATTTATCTCAATTATTTTATATATATATTGAAAGCAACACATCATGCAAAGCTGTGGCAGCAGTATATATATATTGACAAATTGAAACAGTTATTCTCCTCACTCACCCCACTGTATACAATATTTACTTGCATGGGAAAATTTAGAGCAAAACCTCGCGATTTACGAAAATTCAGTAACTTTTATTTTCTCTTATATATCAAAATAGATATTAAATATTTTTAATTATTTAATTTATTATGAACTCGATTATTTATAAATAAAATATATTATTAACTTAAAGTTATCGTCAAGAATCTATGAACTTTAAATCTTATAAATATTTTCTTCTTTTAGTTTCTCATTCCGTGTTTGATATTAACATAAGGGTCAATTAGAGAAGTTCCATATTCGAAATTAAGCACTCTTACGAAAGTGAATCGTATTCAATAAAAATATGAATTTAAAATTTCTGATTAAGACGAAAAGAGTACTTGTCACTTCACGACTACTCCGTAATTAGGTTGAAGTGGTCCACTTGAGTCTATGGCTCATATAGACAAAAGCCGTGTGTGAGAGAAGGAATAATATAATAGAGAAAATATTCTTTCTTTTATTAAGTTATATATATATAATTATCATATTTTATTTTTTGCTTCTACTTCTACTATATACTAAAATCAAACAAAAACTTAGAAAAAAGGAAAATCAAGAAGAAGAAGTGAAGTTGTTATAACAACTCTATTGTTTGTTTTTGTTTTAATAACATTGTACACTATACAATGAGTATTTTTTGGGATTTAGCTGTTTTGAGTAAAATCTTGTGGCTTCTCTTGAAATCGAGCTGAGCTGAACTGAACTGAATTGAACTAAATCGAACTTCTTCTTTTTTCTTTTTGGTGTGTGTGTGTGTTCATTTTACTTCAAATTTTGAGGTTCAAGAAGAAAAATGATGTCTAATGATGGACTTTCTTGTTCCATGAGAGGTGGTTTGACTTTGATTCAAGATTCAAAAAACCATAATACTAATATAAATCATCAAAATCCAAACCCTAATTCAAATCTAGATGTTTCTTCAGCTAATAAGAGGAAGAGAAATCTGAATGCATCTCTAAACTTAGTATTTATTCAACTATAGTTTTTAAGGGTTTTTCATGTATGTATATTATTTTAGTTGAAAATGATGTAGGAACGTCCATCAAACTCCATCCTAAAACTCTGAATCCGCCTCTGAATCAATCAATAACATGTTTTGTATATATACATACAAGATTTTATTTTTTTTCCCCCTTTTTTTCAATTGAAAATGATATACAACACTCTAAATTAAGATTTTTTTCTTCTCTTTTTAACTCTTCTAATTGCTCTAACATAACTATAACTTCTTTTTTGTTGCTAAAAAAAATAGATCCAAATGCAGAAGTGATAGCTCTTTCACCAAAATCTCTAATGGCGACGAATCGATTCGTGTGTGAAATATGCAACAAGGGTTTCCAAAGAGATCAAAACTTACAACTCCATAGAAGAGGTCACAATTTACCATGGAAATTGAAACAAAGAAATAACAAAGAAGTTATAAAGAAAAAAGTTTATATTTGTCCTGAAAAATCATGTGTACATCATGATCCATCAAGAGCATTAGGTGATTTAACTGGGGTTAAAAAACATTACTCAAGAAAACATGGTGAAAAAAAATGGAAATGTGAAAAATGTTCAAAAAAATATGCAGTTCAATCTGATTGGAAAGCTCATAGTAAGATTTGTGGTACTAGAGAGTATAAATGTGATTGTGGCACACTTTTTTCCAGGTACGTAATCTCTGTCTCAATTTACGTGACACATTTTACATTTCAAAATTCATTATACAAGTCTTTCTTTAATTATATATATGTCTCAATTCATGTGACATATTCAGATTTCAAGATTCATACAAGTCTTTCTTTGACTGTATTGTATCTATTTCAATTTATATGACATATTCAGATTTCAAGATTCATACGAATTTTTCTTTAATCGTATCTGTCTTAATTTATATGATATATATTTAAATTTTAAAATTTATACAAGTCTTTCTTTATTTATATCTGTCTCAATTTATATGTCATATTCAGATGTCAAGATTCATACGAGTCTTTTTTGAGTGTCTTTAGCTAAGTATTAGATGTGACTATGGTACACTATTTTCTAGGTACCTTTCATGAATTAGATTTTATTACTTTTAAGAGAATTTAATTTGATAGAGAATATAGGTAATAAAGTAATATTGTCCTATGATTAGTTTGTTGATGAAATAAATGGTATAGATATATGTGAAATTTAATTCAAACTCTATCAAGTTGATGAAATTTTTTTATATATATAATCCATCGTTAATCTGTTACAAAATTACTTGTTTGCTAAGTTTTTTAATAATACGTCTCTAACATGTCACTAATACATTCTTTGTAGCTAAGTTTTTTTTAAATAATTTGTCGTTAATTTATGGTAAATTGCTCGTAGTAATATTTTTGATAATTTATCGTTAATTGTTCGTAGATAAGTGTTGATAATATGTCATTGTGTATGTAATATATCGCTAAATAGGACTAGCGATGGATTTTTGTTGTTGTCATTTATATATAATTTGTATTTTTGAAGGGTTTTGTTTTCTTCTATTTAATTTTATCTGTCGCTAATTTCTATAACAGAAAGGATAGCTTTATAACACACAGAGCATTTTGTGATGCATTAGCTGAAGAAAGTACAAGATTTACATCAATCCAAACAGCAGTAAATCTTAATAATTTGAGAAATCAATTGATTAATGGTGGGATTAGCACTAATCTCCAACAACAACAACAAATGAGTGGAAATATTTCTCAATTAATGGGATTGGGATCCTTAGACCCTTCAAATCAACTTAATCTTGATCATGGACAAAAATCAAGGCTACCACTTTGGCTTCATCATGAAAATTCAAATTATGGTAAGCATATAAGTTCATCTGAATTTAGTATGTATATATATAAGTGAAAAGTCACTAAAATATCAAAAAAATTCATTTTGACACGTAATTTCGAAAAGTTCAATAAATTAGCACTATTAGTAGATGTTAGATTCTCAAAAAATTAGTGTATTTTGAAGGATGTAAAACATGGTGCAACATCATATTTTATAGAGTCTAAATAACATAAATTAAATGTTTTAATCATCACTATAAGAAAATTATGAATTACATAAAGACTTTTTTAGGAATTAGTATGAAAATTTATAGAAAAATAAGTGAACTATGAAATTTTATACTAATCCCTATGAAAATTTTCATATAATTCACTTTTTTTTTAAAATACATATTCAAAATTAAAATTATGATTTCGTTTCTTTAAGTTACTAGTGAGTTCCAGTTAACTAGGTATGTATATATATATAAAAAAATTCTAATAAATTTTTTTTTATTAAATCGTTGCAATAAGCAATTTTTTAAATAAAAAAATTAAAAATGTTAAAACAGCGATTTTATATATATAAAAAAATTATAATATTTTTTAAAATTTATGTATATAACTTATAAGAAAATATACATTATTTTATAAAAATTAAAAATAAGTAAAGTAATAAATATATTTTCTTCTAAAAAAAGATATTATATTGAATTTAAATTTAAATAATATTTGAATTCAAATAATTAATTTTTTTAAATAAAAAATTAAAGGAGAAAAATTATTGAATTTTTTTTTAAAACAAAATGATATATATATATATATATATATATATATATATATATATATATATATAAAGTTAAAGAGGATCACATGACAATAGTAGACCCTTTGTTTTTATTGTAAATTTTGAAGAAAATATTCACATGTAAATAGTACATCATACTTTCAATTCTATAAATTGGTACTTTCAATCTTTCAATCTTCCAATCCAATCTACTTTCAATCTTCCACAATCTTAAAATTCTTGTTATTCTTCAAATTTTCTAAAGTTTTTAAAAGCATTTTCTTTATAAGGAAAGTTTAAATTTATTTTATTTTTAATTTATTTTAATTAATTTTATACTTTTATATGATATTGTTGATATATTCAACAATATCATATAATTTAAAATTTATTTTAATTAATTTTATACTTTTATATGAGATTGTTAATAATTTAAAATTTATGTAATATACATACTAATGCCTCATGTCTTCCTGCCATGTGTTGATACCCTTTTTGTACAACATGTTGTGGATTTCCAATGACCATGCGGGTATGCCTCATGTACCAAGGATATCATATAAAAGTATAAAATTAATTAAAATAAATTAAAAATAAAATAAATTTAAACTTGCCTTATAAAGAAAATGCTTTTAAAAACTTTAGAAAATTTGAAGAATAACAAGAATTTTAAGATTGTGGAAGATTGAAAGTAGATTGGATTGGAAGATTGAAAGTACCAATTTATAGAATTGAAAGTATGATGTACTATTTACATGTGAATATTTTCTTCAAAATTTACAATAAAAACAAAGGATCTACTATTGTCATGTGATCCTCTTTAACTTTATATATATATATATAGGGATAATGCCCAAGTACCCCCTCAACCTATGCCCGAAATCTCAGAGACACACTTATACTATACTAAGGTCCTATTACCCCCCTGAACTTATTTTATTAATATTTTTTACCCCTTTTTAGCCTACGTGACATTATCTTGTGGGCCAACGATGGTTGACTTTTTTTTTTCAAACTAGTGCCACGTAGGCTAAAAAGGGGTAGAAAATTACTTGTAAAATAAGTTCAGGAGGGTAATAGGACCTTAGTATAGTATAAGTGTGTCTCTGGGATTTCGGCCATAGGTTGAGGGGGTACTTGTGCATTTTCCCTATATATATATATATATATATATATATATATATATATATATATATATATCATTTTGTTTTCAATAATTTTTCTCCTTTAATTTTTTATTTAAAAAAATTAATTATTTGAATTCAAATATTATTTAAATTTAAATTCAATATAATATCTTTTTTTTAGAAAGAAAATATATTTATTACTTTACTTATTTTTAATTTTTTAAAAATAATGTATATTTTCTTATAAGTTATATACATAAATTTTAAAAAATATTATAATTTTTTTATATATATAAAATCGCTGTTTTAACATTTTTAAATTTTTTTTATTTAAAAAATTGCTTATTGCAGCGATTTAATAATTTATTTTTTTTTATAAATCGCTGCTCAGGCAGCGATTTATATTAGAATTTTTTTTTATTTTTATAAATCGCTGCACTGGCAGCGATTTGTAAGAAGAAAAATTTTGAAATCGCTGCTTGGGCAGCGATTTCATTTTTTTATTAATTTTTTTTTTTTTGCAAAATCGCTGCCTCAGCAGCGATTTTACTTTTTCAGGTGAAGTAATCCTGCACCGGCAGCGATTTTACCGTTTTGGTTAATATAAAATTTTATATACCGTTTTGAAATTTTTATTAATATTTTTTACCCTTTGAGTTTCGGACTCATGTATATATGTGTGAAATTTCTTTTATTGTTATTTCAAATTTTGAATCAGTCTTTATTGTGTAGGTAACCCTAATGACTTTTTATCAACACCATCAACCACAACAAGCACCTTGCCTCATGAGTTGGTACAAGTGGCACCACACGCAAACATGCTAGGCTCGTCTTCGTTACATAAGAATAACAACAACAATAACAATAATCAATGGTTCGTCAATGACGATGGTGGTGATGCCATCATCACCACCTCGTCATCGATGCTGATGCCACGTGTGCTAAAAGAGGAAGAAGAGAACAAAACTCTTAGCCCAATGTATTACAATAATAGCCACATGTCAGCAACAGCACTTTTGCAAATAGCAGCCCAGATTGGATCAACAAGGAGCAACAACAATTCACCACTCTTTAGCAATCAATTTGGGCTAATGACCTCATCTAGCCTTAGTATGAAGAATAGTTCTTCATCATCAAGTGCCTCAAATGTGGCTATTCATGAAAATGTTCAAGGAAATAATGGATTGCTAATAGGGGCTACAAATTCAACAACTTTTGTGGCTAACAATGCAAATACTTTGATGATGATGCAAGATAAAGGGAAGCAAGGTAACTTAACAAGAGATTTTCTTGGTGGTGGAAGGAATGAAAAGAGGCTATTTTTGCAACAAACTCATGAGATGGCCAAGTTTGAAAATAATAAATAATAATAATTCTAGGATTTTTTAATAGGTTATTAGATTTTTCGTTCACTTAATTGGAATCGTACGATGTTGAAGACACCAAAAAAAAAGTAGTTGAGAATGTCACCTCTAGAAAAAAAATCCACCAAATAATCAAACGCAAACGCATAATCGAAATTTCAATTTTATAAATTCTAAAATTTTAAATGGCTATTTGATTAAGTGTTACTAAATGAGTTCTAAATGTAGAATTTATACATGTTATACGGATTTCTTAATACAAATATGAGTAAAAGTTAATTAATGAGTTCGATCGAATCGGTAGATTAACTTCTATGCTCTAGCTTCGTCCATGTTTACTTTGTGTAAATTTAAATTTAATCGAATCTCGATATAGATATCGATCCCGAAAAGAAAAAACATATTTTTCTTTAGAGATCTTGTGAATTGTGGGGGCTACAAAAAAAGTTGACAAAAAGTGACATGGCTTTTTACCCACATTGTATTTTTGCTGCATGTACAAAGATTTTTACCTTTGAGATTACTTTATTTTATGCATTTATTTTTTATTATATAGTATATATGGACCACGTAGTACTGTGAAACCTGTGACTTATCTCTGATAAAATTTTTTTTAGAATTTATGAAAAAGTTAAATTAATTGGTATCTTATAATTGTACACTTTTGGAAAATTTTATTTTTCTTCATTCCTCGTCATGTAAATTTGTATAGATCGAAAGTTTTAGTTTTCGTGAAAATCGATTTGTCATATTATGTTATATTTCTTATAATAATATTTTATTATAGCATATAGAAGATATTCAAATAAATTACACTATTATATATAATAGACGATTGATCATAATTACATGATATAATTAGTTTAATTTGAAATTATTACTTGAGTTGTATTGAAGACATTCGTAAATGATTCGATTGATATTTAAAAAAGGAAAAAAAAATATTAATAATGTTAAATGGTATTTAGATAGTTTATATATAATTTAACTTTTTCCATTAGATTTTTTTATATATATATATTTATATACATATTATGCATTTATGTACGTTCACAGTAATAACAACAAAAATTATGTTATATTATAAGTAGAATCTAAAAAGGATAAAAATATTGACGTTATCCTTATTTTATATGAGAGAGAAAAATTGTTTCTCGTAGATTCTCGACTCATAAAAATATTTCGGTCAATTACTAAACCCTAATTTTGTTATATATACGTGATGCAACAATAACTTTATAAATCGTAATTTTTAGTACTTTTCGTACATTTTTTTAATATCTAAAATTTGTGCTTAAAATATCAAAATAATGTAATCAAAATTAACTTTAAAAATTAATCAAAGTAACTTTCCAAAAGTGTAACATGACAATTTAAAATGAAATAAAAAAATAATAACTAACGTTCATCTTTAAGAGTGAAAAAAATATATCATGAAGTCTCTAAATTTAAACATTATAAATTCAAAATATATCATCAAAATCCATAACTTCAATATTTGTATATATTCAACAAATACATACATACGTTATATATATATATATATATATATATATATATATATATATATATATATATATATATATATATATATATATATATTCAGAGAGGGTACATTTCAGTGGCTTGTCTTTTGTTTTGGCAGCATATATACTCACAAGAAAATGAAATAAAAAAAGATGCCCAAAAATATTATTCCACTTCTTCCCAAGCTTATAATTTAAAAGTTTGAATGAATAAAATGACAAGTTTTTAGCTTAATTTTTGGAAAAAAAAAACATTGTTTATATTGTAATACAAAAGGACAAGTTTTGAAGCTTAATTTTGGAAATAAAATAAAATAAAATTGTTTATTCTTCTCCGTTACAATATTTTAGTCTTTTATTTTTACGTAATACTCTTTCTGTTTTAATTGTAAGATTTTTTTTTAACTTTAATTTATAATCTTAAATTAAAAATATATATTTAATTAAATAACTTTTTATTAGTCTTATAATTTTAAGCATGTCATATAAAAAATTGAATTTAAATCAAAAAGTATTCACACACACACACATATATATACATATATATATATTACAATAAAAATAACTTTTAGCGACATTAAATATTAAAACTAATAAAAAGTGTTAAAGTCTTTATCGGCATTAGTTAAGTGCCATTAGAATTAATGTCGCTAAAAGCTTTAGCGACATATACAAAGAATGACAATTACCACTAAAATATATATTTAGCGATAATTAAAAATTAAATATCACTATAATCATTTTTATTATAACGATATATATATATATCAATAATTAATCAGACGATCATAATGAATCTTTTATTTCACAATAATGCATGACTAGATGGAGGTGTCAAATCCTCCATGTGACAAAACTATCAGAGCTGTCCTCCACAAAATTATTTGCATATTATTAAAAAAAAAAGAAGGAGATATTTTATTTCATAAATATATGTATATTCTTGTTCGATATTTATTATAATAAACTATATACACTTTAATATTAATATCAAAAAACTGTTACTGATAATATATATAATTAAATATGGTGTAAAATTTATTTCGTGCGTATGAAATGTTAGCATCACACGTATATTGCAGGGGCTGTAATTCTAATTTTCTTAATATAAACGTAAGATATGAGAAAAAATAATTGTATTCTACAAAATTTAAAATCATCATTATTAGTTTCGTCTCATAGTTATATCATTCATATATCAACGGTAAATATGATAATTTATCTTCTTATACGATCCTCAATAATTTCAACTATATGAATTAGTTTTTCAAATTGCATTAGATTCACGTCTATTTTCTTATCATAAAAATCTTATATATTCGTTATTCAATAATTAAAGTAGAAAGCTAAATTCCAAAAAGGGGCAAAAAAATAAAAAATAAATAAAGAGGAGACAGAAGAATATCTAGTAAACCGTAATATTAGACTTTTAAAATAAACTTATAATATGCCCCAAATTTATTATGGGCAACTTTCACATATACCAAACAAAAAAATCATATTTGTAGTTATAGCAAACTTTGCATAATTGCGCTCCATAGCAAACATAAAAATTGTATAATTCGCTATACATATACAAGTGTATAATTCGCTGGCCTAAATTGTATAATTCGTTGTCCTATTTTGCTGCAATTGTATAATTAGATTTGCATGCAGTTGAATCGAATTAAAATGTATGTATATTGCATAATTATAAGTGTATAGTAAGAAGATATATGTTTTTCTCGCTTTATACTATATACACTTCTGTTGTATTAAGCTAGAAAAAATTGTATTTCACTGCAATTATATAATTTATTGGCCTTTTTCTCTGCAATATTTGAAGTAAAATGTTTATAAATTATATAATTAAGTGTATAACACGAAGATATACATTTTTGCATGTATATATACAATTTTCTCTCGCTTTATACAAAACAGAAACAGAAATTATACACTTCTGTGTATAAAGCGAGAGAGGCGAGAATGGGAGAGTGGCGAGCGAGACTTCTGGGAGAGAGACGCCTGGCAAATTTTTGCCAACGTTTGCTATGGAGCACAATTAAATCAAACCCTAACTATTTTATTTAATTTAGGTTATTAGTTTGCTATTATATACAATTTTCTCATTTATTAAACCATATCGAAAGCCGGATATTCTTATGAGATTTTGATATATTCAGATATATGTATCCTAAAATATACGAGGGCTAAAATTAGGATTAATTTATTCAAGATATACTATATTCAAGTGAATTTGCAAGTATATGAAATTCATAGACAGATAGTTTTACTCGCGTTCCTCCCACACATCTCGCTTATCACTATTATATCTCGCTCCTTGTATCGCATATATATATTATAGTGTGATTTGCATGTATGTGGGATACACAGATAACTCTCACTCGCCTATCTCTTGTTCATACTCGCTTCTCTCTCTAGATCTATTTCAGAATATTTGATATAAAAAAAATATGTATTTAGATGTACCTAACTTGAAATTTAACGTGAAATTATTAAATAGTGAAGCAAAACATAATTGTTTCAAACTATACAAAAATTTAGTAAATGTAACAGAAATATTTGTATAATTAGAAATTTTTTTCTAAACCAATTTGAAAGTCAAATTTCTATTTGGGCCTATCTAAGTGGGCCGAAAACATGATCCAGCTCAAGAACTAGCATGCCAAGATGATAACCTAAACCCTTTTGTTCCTTAATGTTTGTTCTAGAAATTATTTATATTAATTGTAAAAATTACATAAATCTCATGGTGTTAAGAGATAATTACATTCTATTTTTATTATTTTTAAATTACAATTTTTTTTAAATTTATAGGATCGCTTATACATCAGGAAACTTGTATATCGGATACATAGCTCATGAATTGCAAATGATGTATTCGAAAGTGAATTTTTGTAAGTTTTTTAAATGATCGAAAGTTTTAGAAATTATAAGAAAATAAAATATTGTATTTATGTAATTTCTTCATATTAATTTGAATGAATTTACTTGATTAGTCAGAGTTTCAATTGAATGCTTTCTTATAATTTTCGTATTAATTATTTGTTAAAGTGTTTTTAAAAAGAAATCGGACATACATTATTCGAATTGAGGGTCTTTTGAAAAAATCTATGTACTTCCACGAGGTAAGATATCAAAAGAAAAATATGTTATTTTCTCATGTTCTACTCTCAAAATGAATTACTTATTTTTCAAATTATTTTTTTAAGTTTAAGACTAAATATCAATCAATATAAATATTATGATAAAATATATAAATATCAATTATTATTTTTTAAGGAGCGTGTAAAATTCGGAATGAACAAGGTAAAATGAACATAATTGTAGATACATCAAAAAATTGTTTCTTAGTAGTTTACATAGATGAATATACCCAAAAATAATAAAAGGTAAAAAAAATAAAAACATAAAAAAGAAGAATTTGAAATGAAATGGTAATTATTCAAATGAATCACAACCGTTGAATCAACTCATCAAAAAAATCACAACGAATCCTCACCGCATTTTCTAAAATTTACAACACTACAAACAAAGAAATTCCAAAAAACAAAACCGTTGTGCCGTGCATGGCAATCCTCTCAACACCGGAATCATCCGCCGCCGGCAAGTCGTCGTTGCCGGAGGTAGGGTTCAATCCTGCCGGAGACTTGCTCTTTGGTTTCAACGTTGCCGGAGTCGGTGCCATTGCCGGAGCCGGAGCAGCAAAGATACTCATAGGTTGAAGCACTTTATCAACCTAATAATTATTACACTA